TCCACAATTTCTTAGGTATCATATGTGATTTGAATTAATTTTCATAATTTGGTGGTACGCATTGTGTTTTGCAGGGTGATGACTAATGTTTTGTATCTGTCCTTGAATGGTCTTGCAGGAATTGCCAATTCAAGCTGAGTCATATCCTTATGACTTGGAGAAAGGTTCGATCTTACACTGATAAATATGGCATTATACCAGTTAAAGTTAACATTGTCAAAGTAGAACTTTCAGTGCCCACCATTCCTTCAGCTCCCTTATATCATACGGCTCTCAGAAGCACCAGGCAAATTCCCATCTGTTGATCATTCTTGTATTATTGTTCATACAACATTCATTATTCTTACATCTTACAGTAAAATGCAGAAGAAATTACTGGCCCAAGGACCTCAGTACGTGTGTTCTTCTCTTTCTTTCTTTTTCTGGGGAAGGACATAGTCTCTAAAAAGGATTTCACTATGGTGTTTCAACAGAGGCCATGTTTACTAGCCATTCGTAGGAGTGAGGATTCAAACATCTTACCTTTAGGACAGATGTATAATGTCTTAACCAATTGAGTTATGCTCTAAGTTAGCAATAGTGCTACTTTATTTTTGTCTCGCTGTCTATTTCTATATATAAAACATCTGTTATGCTGTCGTAGAATTACAATTCAAAGTTTAGGTGTTAGGTTGCAATCTCGTGGGAGGGGAGGGAAATGGTGAAGAAAACCATACAAATGGAACTTAGAGGTTTGGTTGCAATCTTGTGCTAGTTGCATTAAGAGAGCTGTTTCAGTAAAACAATCAAACTACAAATATGAGATCATCTGTACTCGTTTAGAATATAAATATGGCAATAAACATGTGGAGTTCCAGAAACTAGACACATCCTTGTGTTGTATCTACCTCAAATGGAAATTGCAGAAACAAGTGGTCTAGTGAACTTGTTTTTAGAAATTCTGGAACAAAACATGAACAACAATAAAATTGACGACAACAAAAATAGCCTAAAATAAGTTCTCATCTCCTGCATCCCTAGTTCAAGAACCTCCCTCTTCTTCCCATATCTGCTACTCCTCTCAATCAAGTAACCTTCAAGATATTCATCAATCGACACTAGCTTGTCTAAGTTGCCCTTCGAATGGAGCTCGGTATCACCAAGGTACTCCGGACCCAGCTTAAAGATTGTGAAAAATGCAGCAGACCAATCGCTGAGAACCCTCTGAAAACAAAGAAAGAAAATTGCATTCAGCTAATAATTTCCATGGTCATCAATTTCTCGAGATAACAGGAAATGTTACTTGATGTAGTAGTCTTCCCCTACTACATTACATACATTGAAGGTTCCGAGATCCGTGGGATTGAACATCTTAAAGCAGTCTTTCGACGAGGCTGCTCCATCTCCGTATATCTGATATACATATGATTAAGAAGCTTATTTTAAGACCTGAACCAAGATTAGCATGAAAGTTACATAGCAGTTCAAGTTTGACAAACCTCAAAAGTGAAAGCCATAGGAACTCGTGCCTTGTCAAACATGAAATCTGTGGCTGTCCCATGTGCCAGATACCTTGAAGCAGAAATTATGCATGCAAAATTCAGACACCCAATTGCATAGAAGAATGGAATTACAAGAGTAGATAAGGGATCCAATTAAAGAACAAAAGGAACAAAAACTTCAAGTCAATAGCCATAAGATTATTGATGGAATCACAATCACATATAAAGGAAAGCCAAGATCTTTTTGTCAACCTGCTATGATATGATAACATACAATAAGAATTGCTATAGAGAAAAAGGGTCACTCAAAAAGTGAACTAACCCAACGGAACCTCCACCCGATCCGATCATGCATCGACTGTGGCAATGGAGATTGTTCAGCTCTTCAAGCACAAGTTTCATTTGTTGTGCAATATCACCATCAGGAGTTGTGTTTTTATGGTCATAAGGCATGAATAGAGCCTAAAACAAGTCGAAATAAAAAACCAGCAAGTTGCATGAAACGTGCATGGAAAAACCTCGGCAATCAGTACAACAGCTCGTCGAATAAAGAAGAGTAGGGAAAGAAAGTCATTAAACACTCGTTTTTAGAAGCGTTCCTTAAAAATGAAAAATGAGGGAAAAAAAAATGAAAACAGTCTCAAACGGGCCCTAAACTAACCGTAACATGATTCTAAATTCTCTTTTTAGTCCTATTATAATTTCCTTTTCAACAAACAGAATCCAGAAATCTGTATCTAGTAGTAACGACAAATTAATAATATAAAAAGTACAATAATAATGATGATATGGTTTATTGTGTTTGTTTGACGGGGAGAAAATTGGTTAAATTATAAATTTGGTCTCCATATTTTAAGTTTGTCTCATACATCTTTGAACTTACTTTCAATTTTATATCTACTTAGAATTTTGAAAAATATCTAATAAAGTCTCTAACTTTCAATTGTATGACTAATAGATCTATGATATTTTCAAAAATATTTAAAATCAATGAACCTATTAGATACAAAATTGAATAAACTTTCAATTTTGTATCTGTGTTTAATGGATCTGTGAATTAAAAAGAGAAAAAAAAAGAAAAAGAATAGGTCAAGGATCTATTAGACATAAAATTGAAAGTTCGGGAATCTATGAGACACAAAATTGAAAGTTCATGAACCTCGTTCGAAGACCTTATTAGACACAATATCAAAAGTTGAAGGATAAACTTAACCATAACCAAGAAAATTTAATGGCAGGCAATCGATTTGCTATGAGGTTATTAAGTCAAGCAATTAGTTTCATTTCCTTAAATTAAGTCAATTGGATAAATATTAATGCTGGTATACCTCCTCATCATCCAAAGCAAAACTGATTACTTTTCAGAAACCTCAAACTAACTACTCTATTCATTTCATGAAACTATTTAGTACAATTTCATGTGTAAACTGAACCAATCAAATTGTCAAGTTGTGATAAAAATATCTCTGTTCACTAAAAATGGCTAATCTGTGTGTCAGTGAAGAAGACATTACAAATCGTATTCATGAAAATTCACTAATCACTATCATCCAGGTTAATAATTAATCCTTTCCTAGTTGTCTTAGCATCTCAGCCTTAGGCAATAATATAAATGACATTAGTTCTTACCTCCATTCCAGAGTGCACATTGACCCATATATGTGGATCAAATGTTAAGGCAAGTTTTCGCATAACTTGAGTTTCTGGTTCACTGAAAGGAGCAAACCCAGGATTTTCCTCATATGGATCATAATCCTGCAATAGGGGAGAAGGAGGACTCAAAAAGTGTGGAACAGAAGAGAGTATTACAGTTATCATTCACAAAAGCCAGAGAGAAATCCATGGAGCCTGAAAAAAAGCCCTGCCAAAGGTTGGTATTCATATTTATCTTTTTGTTTTCGTTTTTGTTTCAAGAAATGAATATGATGCTTCCTATGGGAAGTAATTTCTGGAGATCATCTTTTACAAGTTTCCTAAAATCAAAGATGGATACCAACCTTCTCCTTTTTACCCCAATCGACGCTCCAGTTCCTGTTCAGATCAACACCTCTCCCTAAAGACAAAACTCAGGCATTTCAGTATGACCTTGGAGATCTTGTATGACCTTTAAATGGATTAAATTTAGCTCTGTTACCATTTCTTCTTTCACAAAGATCCCCGGCCTCGACGAGTCTACGTCCATTCAAGTTTTCCATCGGCACCACCTGGCAATATACATATGAGCAAGCACTTTATGCATTCAGAAATATGTGATTTGAGTTTGAAGCACTAATATCATTTCAAACATAGAGCTCTTTCAAGTTTTTATCAGTCTATTAACCAATTAATTTAATGTCCATAAAGCTTACCAAACATTAACTATCTATAAAAATATAAATCTACATGACCCACATTGAAGAACTTAATAAATATGTTCGAGCTTAAGTATGAACACGACTATCGATTATCAAGAAGAACAGCCAAAAGTATCTGCATGATGCAGGGCTGACTGCATAGACTTCATTCCCACCAAAAGTTCATTAATTCGTTAAATTATCTGTGAGTCCCGTGTCTGCAAATTTCCTAAAATTATATAACCAAAACTGTTATACTAAGTACTTTATTTCACTTATCGATGTAAAAAAATGCAGCTTCAACAAAAGAACAAGAAATTTTGGCCAATAAGGTTACTATATTTCCACATATACCTTAATGACAAGATTGGCAAGTGTATTGTTTAAAGACGCTTGATCCATGTGAGGCAAAAACTGTTCTCCACTCAAGAGTAAAAGAATTCTTAGTGCAAGTTCTGTTGTAATGAGCTCCCTTCCATGCTGTCCAAAACTCTGGAAGACAAGGAGGAATCATCTGTCAAGAACACCAGCAGTTGCCAATTTGAGATGATATGTTCACTTAGTTGTTAAATAAAAAAGAAAAATGGAGAGGAAAAGAAAAAGAAAGAAAGAACTGATTTCTAAATTAAGCCCATTTTCATTTAGTCCAATAAGTACACATGCAGAAAGCTTTTGCAACTGAAAACGTGAAGGGAACAAAAACCAGAAAGTTCAAACGAATATGCAATTCAACACAAAACTTACAAGAAGTATCCGAAACTTGGACAAGTCATCAATGTTTTTCCTTCCATGGCAATAAGTAACAACTGGAATCTCTGCAAGATAGCCCTTATTTCCAGACCTCATTGTCTCTATCTGCATAAATATTGAAAGTAAGTAACCAAACCAAAGCATCATATTCATGCCTGAATAAAGGAGAATCAACAACAACATACAGTCAGCTTATCGGGGTGGCGATGGACCACGGTTTGTATCTCCTTCATCAAATCAACACTGCAAGATCCAACCATCCAAGAAATAAGAGAACTTTCATTTAAGAATCCCAATAGGAACATAAAGACAGACGAGAGTTTCAGATGTTGAAAGTATTCAAACCATTCAACAAAGATAAAAGGGCATAAAATAAAAACTCTCCAAAAACTTGGATTGGAAGAGAGAGTCGTATCAGACTCGTTAAAGTAGAGGTGTATAAAAATGGACATCATATCAAATTTTCACTCATTGCACAATTGGGAAAGTTATTTAAGCTATCCACAGATACATACATCTCAAGCCATAATCTAACCACAGGGAATCTGCATCAGTTATATGATTAAATACCCAAATTCCAGCAATAACAGAGCGGGCAAATTTTACAACCTAATTACCAGGAAAAGGGAAATCGGAAAATTACTGACCTAGAATGGTAAAGATCGCGGTCGATTGGAGTTAATCTAATGTTGTTGGGATCAACCTCAGCAGCGACGAGACAACCTTGGAAACATGTGAAGAAGCAGAAGCAGAAGAAGAAGCAGATCCATGGCGAAGGGGGGAGAGAACGGAGTGGGCGACCCATATGGCAGAAACAGGGGAAAGCGGATCGAGGGTGTTGTTTCAGTTCAACAGTGGCTCCATTGTTGCAAGCTTTTGGAAGAATGGAAATGAAATATTGAAATCCAATACCATTACCAGATCAAAAGGGAAAAGGGAAGGAATTTTGTGCACGTTCAACGGTCTCGATTTTGCAGGCTTTACAATTATCATCACCAATTACTTGTAAGAAACTTCTTAGAAAGAATTTTAACAGTTAACTGATTGGCCCACCATCTGCATCTGCTTCAGTCGGACATCAACATGCTTAGAGGAGTTTTTGTTGGATCTCCCGTACGTTTAAGTTGTAAGAAAAATGTTTCAATTGTATTTCAGTCCCCAAATTCTTTATCTTGTTCTGTTCTAATCCATCAATTTTAAGTATTTTCTTGTGGTTCAAATTCTAGTGCAAGAGTTGTTCATTTTTGACCTTGGCTGTAGTTTTTAAAATAATTGAGTTCATATTGATAGTAACTTAATTCTTATAGACCAAAGGTATAATATGCCTAAAAAATTAATAACAATTTTGATATATGAAGAGGTCAATTATAATGTTGGGAAGTTATGAAATAAAATATAATAAAGATGAAAGTTCACGAACTAAAATATAATTTTTTTTTGGTATCTATTAGTGTATGGGTTAGTTTACGCACACCTTGACTAATCTCACGGGATAACTGCCTAACTTTTAATACATCTGGTGTCGGGAAACACATAGGAATTAATTCTTAAGGTAGCTGAACTAAAATATAATTTAAACCTGAACAATTTTTTTTTCTTGTTCTCATTTTTAATTTGTTCCAAAATATAAATAAAAAAATTATTTGATTATACTTGAATTTATAAATATTAGAGTCATGCAATTCATGTTTATTTATTAAAAATAAAGAAACAAAAACAAGAAACACAAACCTTACCAAACGGGTCCTAAGCTTTTTAGCATTTTATCTTTTAATAATTTCAATTACATCATTAAATTTGGTATCAATTTTTAAATATATTTTAAGATAAACATTTTTGGACTTTATCATTAAACAAAAATTTACAAGTTTTCAATCCTCAAAATCAACTCCCAAATGCATATTTTAATAAATAAAAAAGTACAACTATTTATCCTATTAAATAAAAAATCATGTCACACAAAAGAGGGAAAATAACGAGTATTAATCTTGTCCTAACCATCATTAAATGTTTGACAATTAAGACAGATGAATGCAATGACAAAAGATTGTTTTTAAAAATAATGAGTTGTCAAATTTTCAATAGTGATGAAGACAAGATTTAGTTATCACCAATAAGAAATCAAGTATTTTTCACATACTAGTTTAAAATAGGAGTTCCACGTAAAGGAAAAATAAATTTTAGGGTATTATTAGATTAGAAAATGTAAAGAACTAAAATGGTGGGAAATAATTAACATAACCAACTATATGGAGATAGTACACTGACCTTGTCCAAAGGTAAGCTCTATTGGCAAATTTTTAGGATATTGTTGTATCACCTATTATGAGATTTGTGCTTGTATCTTCAGATGAACTTAATACAAAAAATTCATGTCTTTTGCATCTGATCATTGGGGCGAGCTTGCAAACCCCATTTATAGAGGTAAAAAGCTAAATATCTATTGATTTCGAATTTAAAACCTAAAGAAATTAACTAGTTTCTAGTATCCATAAAGGATGATCGTAGTGACAAAGAGAAGGGAGAAGAAAGGGAATAACTTGCTTAGATGGGAGCTTGATTTAAACTCAAAAAAGAACCGATACGACCCACACAATGAACTTTAATAAATTATATAAAGTAAGAAGTGACTAATATATTTTCAAAGCTTAGGCATGAAACCACAACTACTGGTTATGAAGAGTAACCAAATGAAGGGCGGAATTATTCATTGCTATTATTGCTACATAAGAAGGAAGGAATTGTAACACAAGAATCTCAACAAGAGATTTGTAGATTAGTCGCACTGCCAGCCACTCTTAAATTAAGAAAAGAAAAGATACAATTATTGAAATGGGTTCAGAAGATAACGTAGCGACATCTTATAAAATTCGCCGCTAAAGCTACTAATAAACAAGTGAAGTTGGTGAGCCGTATGATGAACAATTATCTCGTGCGTGTGTTTCAGCGAAGTGGTTTCATAAACATGTCGCTAAAAGTTTAAATTTAAGGTAGAATACCCATTTCTTCCTCTTAATCTTATACAATCGTAGGTTCGCAATGGGTTCGCCGTGGGTCATCAACAGCTATCGGGGCCGCTGTCCAGCCGTGCTAGTCGTGCTTTTTTGTCGTGAGTTCGTCATGGGTCATCAACAGTCCACTCGTGCTAATTTTTCCCATTATATGCATATTTTAATTTTCATATTATTATTATCATCGTCATCTTTAAATAAAATAATTGTTTTTTCGTTTGTTAAAAAAAGTCCCATTATATGAATTTTTTTAGTTTTGATATTATTATAAACATCATCAATCTTTAATAAAATAATTATTTTTTTAGTTTATTATTATTATTATATTTATTACTAGTAATAATGATAAGATAAGTAGAGAGTTAAAAATGATCTTATTATTATTATTCATTTAAAAATAAATTAAAATAAATTAAAATAAAATAACAATAATAATAACAATATTATTATTATTATTATTATTATTATTATTATATATAATAAATTATATTTTTGAATGAATAAAAAATTATAGTTAATAATTAATAATTGTTGGCTTTTTAGCCATTTACCTCAAATTAATTTTAATTAATTAATTAATTAATATTTTAATAATAACAAACTTAATTTTGTTTATTGAGAATTTTAGTGTTTGAGTTGTCCACGACGTATAGCTCATAACAACGATTCTAATGACTTTTGATTATCCAAATCGGAGTTCAAACGAAGAAGTTATGTTTGAAACAAGTTGGAAGGAAAAATATCGAGATAATGACGTGGCAGCTGAATCAACCAAGCGAACCAATGAAATGACGACATGTGGCGAGCTGTATTTTTTAAAAAAAAATGAAAATTAAAAGAAAAAGAAAAGAGTTAAGATAAAAAAAGGTTTAAAGAAAAGTTACAGTCGACCCAGCCTAACCCAGCCCAATCATAAATTAGATTGGATATAGATAATTTGTTTTTTAAATGGGGCAATTGCAGGAATGGCTAAAATTAATAACGCGTTTTAAAAAATGTCCAAACCTATGAAATATTGCAATAATGGCTAATTGATTTTTTCCGTTAAATTCTAAAATATTTTGTAGAGAAATATAGCCAGCTTGTAACCAATTAATTAGTATATACGCATAATTTTAGAGATTTAGGATTTTTAACTGATAGCAAAAACAATGGGCCTTCATTTTAGGGAATCAATTCTATCTATGAATGAAATTTAAATAATTAACTTAAAAATCTAATTTAAAATTGATAATCAGAATTTGAAAGTTGATTTAAGAAAAAATTATTAAAAATGTGTTGGATATATTTTGAAATTTACCCCTCTAAAATTCCAAAATAAGGAGATAAAAAAGATTATTACTGATAAAATTTATTTCTCACATTTGACTTGAGTTAGAGAAGTTAGGGTTTTAGGAGTCTTCACCTTCTTCCCACCTTTTGGTCTCACGCAACTTCATGCGCCCCACAGCCATCGTCTTTCTCACGAAGCAGATCCGCAAGCCGCCATCCCGTCACTCACCTTCAAGGCCATCATCTCGTCTTGCTGCTCACCTCACAAAGCAGATCCATGC